AGCAATGATGTGCAAAGTTGGGCACTTTTGAGGGTTGATACTGAAATAAAAGTATTTCCATGTAGAGTGTGATTTGTAATTGCAAAGCTGTGACCAGAACAAGTTTGTTTTGTTGGGGTTTTTTTAAGTCATATTTTATGGTGTTTTTTTAATGTAGCATAGAAGCCATAAATGCGTTAATATTGTTTTTCTACTTCAACATAATTTTTCGTAACGATTTTCAGTGTTTGATATGTATTAACCGCTACAGAAAGCGGTCAGTCTGAAACAGCAAAATTTGCATTCAAGATGAAGTGAGGTTTTACAGCTCCACTAAGCCATTACTGCTGAAACTGTTGTGGAAATTATGAAGCTGCATGAATGAAGATTTTTTGACTCGGTGTTTATGGTAGTTCCTCAGGTTTAGTTTTAACTGGATGTTAAATGCACTGTGTTTTTTAAATAGTTCTTTTAGTAACACATTCAGTTCTATGCAGTGTTAAATGTCATTTGGCATTTGGTGAATGTGCATGTTTTGAACTGCAAATTTTAAATGTTTTGTCATTTAATTGTTAAAAAATGAATAAACTTTGCCATTAAATTAAGAAGCTTTGTTGACTTTTTTGGTTGGAAATGTTAGGGATTACTTTCAGAGGAAAACATATTTCATCATTCTTGGGTTTGAATACTTTAAAATGAGACATACCAGAAATATTATTTCACAAATATTATCAAGTTCTTGCATTTTTTAAGGTATACTGAAAAAGTAGTAAATTGGTTAAAGGTTTGTTGGGGTTGGGGGGTTTTTTTTAACACCTTTTTGGAGATGTCTTTTTCAGTTCTCATGTGAAGTCTAGAAAAGTTTAAAAAATTTAAGGAGCACAGGAGTCTGCAATTTAGTGACTTCCAGCCAAGCCTTAACATACTCTGGTGGTGACACCCTATTTTGAAAGAGAAGTATGTAGTACAAGAATGGTAAGAGCAGGAATAAGGAAATGTCACCTCCCTTTTCAGACAACAGTGGTAAGTACTGTATCCTTTGGCTTTGATAGTAGCTGGTATTTCTTCCCTCTAACAGAGCCCACCACTGTAAAAAATCAATATTTTACTACCTTAACTGAGTTTTGGTAGTAGCTGGGTGACTGATTTTTATATGTACACTAGACAATGAATTTATTTTGTAATCTGTCCAAGCAGGTTTGATAATACATGCATCTTAGATAGTGCTAGTTTCACAAGATCCAGTCTCTAGTAGCAGAGCTGGTTTAAGGATATTCCACCTGATAATATTTTACATCTCTCTTATACTGGCAGTCATGAGGCCATTGAAATTATTCATTTTGTAATCCAGTTTATAATGATCCAGACTTCCTCTCAAATCCTTTCCCTTCTTTCTTACAGCAAACATTATTTTTAAACTAAAATAATTTCACTAACCTGATTCACACTACAGCCTCCTGAATTTTTGCACAAGCCATAGATGGAAAGAACAGAAGAACAGAAAGGCATTTCCTTTTCTGCCTTTGCTAATGAAAAGAGGATAGCATGGAATTATAGCCTTGGTGTCACTGTGAGTCAAAAACTTTATGTGCTATGAGTGGCTCCCTCAAAAGCAGACTCATTGTTCAGAGGAGTTCAAGTTCAGACAGTACATTGCAATAGGCAGCAAAACAGCACTGAAAACCAACTTCAACTCCTTAATGCTCCTTAATGTTCCTTTATATCCTTATGTCAAGATGCAACTGAGCAGTAATGACAAAATACTTTTGAAATTGTCAGGTTTTTTTTATTCCAGTGGGATTAGTATTACAAATAATCCGTGAGTTTACATAGCCACATACTGTACTGCTTACCTAGTTTCAAACAGAATCCTTCAGACATTCTTGCAAGTACTTGTAATGTTTTTCCTAGCACTGGAAAGTCTTGATGCATTTTGGAGATACACACTTCAGAATCCCAAATTGTGGAAACACAAAACAAATGGCATGCCACTGTTGCTCATTATCCACCGAAGGCTTGGGTTTCATCTAAGTCATTACCAGTTAATGGCAATCAAAGCATTTGTGGCATTGTGTGTGAATGACAGTAATCAATTTAATGAGTGTGAATATTCTTTCATTTGGATTTTAGATTGTTGTAGTGCTAGTAAAAAGGAGTACGAACTAAATTCAGAATTGCAAAAGAAATAGTTAAATCTACTTTGTTAACATGGCAGTAAAGCAAGTACTGCCTGTAAATGTTACTTCTGATAGTAAGCAATTGCCTTCAGTTCAAGCATACATCCAGCCCTTCAAACCATTTCATTAGTCATTAAAGTGCTATCACAATGTCATTTCTGTTCTGTCTGCAAGTTTTAGGAAAATTTCCTGTTCCTATAAATCATAGGAGTATCTAATGCCAAAAGGCTCTTTCCGTTAGGAAGGAAATTCAGCATTCTCGCCGGCACACCAAATCCACCTGGGTCAGAAACTACTGGCACAGGCAGCATTGTTTCTGTCCATGGGCTTTATTCTGGCCACCTCCTTTCCTCTCCCTTCAGCTATGTGGGTCACTGCTACTCTAACTACATGAACAATAATAGATTTTTTTAATTTTTATTTTCTTCTTTGTCTGTCTGTTTGCAGATGGTGCATAATCCCCACCTCAACTATTTTACAGGTAGCATAGCACAGCTATTTTCACTACAGCTGATCTTTCCCACCCTAAGAGCCACATCTGCAGGATTTGTTGCAGTCTGGCTATTGATCTGTGACATACTTAGCACTCTGTAAACTTACAGACTTATCTAAGTCGGATTCAATGAAATTATTCCTGTGTGTCAAGTTCTTCAGCCATTCTATGAGGACAAACCCATGGTGCAGCATCAGGGGAAGAAAGGAACAGGCTCAGAGGGGTCTTCCCTGCTAGGCTGAGTTTCTTGCTACATGGCAATCAATACAGCTCTCCTTAGGCTGAACAGTCATTAACATTTAAGGCTGCATGCAAGCGTAGCAAAAATCTGTCCTGTGTTAAAACATTAATAACTGACTGCAGAGCCCCCTGAGACCATCACACTGAAGCAGCCTGGCCTGTACAGCACCAAGTGGTAACAGGCAGTGACTGAGCCAAACTCTCAGCTTTGCTGTGTACAGTCTTTCTTTCAGGAAAACACTCAATTTCAGCCACTCCCCACCTGTGTCACTGGCTCTGATGACTAATTGCTCTTTAAAGGTACATAAATTGCCCCTTCTTAGTTAAAAGTGATCAAGTTTCTGCTTCCAGAATGGGTCTGCGTTGCCTTGGTTTACTAGATAAAGATTTCTTCTAATTGGAGATTAACTATAATTTGTAAAAAAATACAGTTGAGTTGGTTTGCTGTTTCTGCTGTATACAGGAATGATCAGTACATCTTACAGTGTGCTTCTGAACAAGACAGCTGATACATCTTGAAATATTCAATGATTTTTCAAAAAAGTTACTTGACAAACAGTCCCATCCATAGCCATTCAAAATATGCAGTGGAGAGTCCTGTGAAATCTTACCAAAGGCAAGCAAAATTTTTCCTTCTTGAAGATTGTTTCTACAATAAAATTACAGGCCAGAATTTAACTTTCGATTCATTTCCTGAATACTTAAAATCTAATTTTTAGTATCTTGCAAAACACATACACATCTGTGTATCATGATTTGGGTGGTAATTAACGATTACAGCATTCAAGCTAGAGCCTATTACTTAAAACATCATTGTATAGAACTTGTCTTTTTGCATTTCTAGCAGTAATGTTTGCTGGATTATAATGGTAATTGTGCAGTTAAAAACTTATTAAAAGTTATTTGGAAAAATTTTTGTCATAACTACTGATCACTAGATATTTGCTATGAAGAAAGTATTCAACTCTTGATAAAGAACCAATGAAGCTTTTCTAAACTACTTGTTAAATAGGTCAGCTATAATGTACTTCAACAGATCCTGCACACAGGGAGTTTGAGGCTGATAAAACAGGAAAGCTCAGCCTCTGATATTGTAGATTCTGACCCACAGAATGACTTCAGTTTTTCACAAAAAACAAGTATACAGAGAAGCCCTTTAATGACTGCATTTTTTACTTGTGTATTTTCCATTTGCTTACTGCATGTATTTGGTTTAGATGCTTTTTTTTCTTCTTCCATTTGGTTTGTTGGTTTACTTAGGTGAAGGAATGTAGAAGGGCAAACAGAATTTATTCCTAGTGCAGCATGTTTAATCCAAAAATACCCAACTAATCAGTGTCATTTTCAACACTTTTTCACTGCAGCTGCATGTAAAAAACATAAATGAATCTAGTAGTTTGCTATATGGTCAGAATTTTGTATTATATTAAATCTGCACAACAGGTGCAGGTAAAGTTGTAAATCATTTTTAAAAGCAGAATAAACTATTTTAACAGGAAAAAAATACAAAAAGAGTTGCACCAACCAAATTCAACAAACACTACCTGTACAGAGTCATACTGATGACACAGCATTTCAACCACACAGTTTATTGGGTTGGTTTTTTTTTTTTGCGTGTTACTACTAAATAATTAGTGATGTCAATGGTGTAAATACATTTTAAATTACAAACTTGTCTTTACATTTTATACAGGGATAATTTTACAAACAGAACTTCATGATCAGTTTGTCCAACTTACACTTGCTGAGCAAAAAGCTGACAATAAATACTTCCTTCTGAAGAATGCTTTAGTAGACCGCTATTTTTAGAGTTTTATGTGGAGAAGTTATTGGTGATATTGCTGAATACATTCTGCTTTCCTCACAGATAATTTGGCTATGTGAGACTGTCTGATCTTCCACTAGCCTAATTACTGCTAGTTTTATCTACCATCGTTAAGATTTACTAATACAAATATGCAGTGTAAGTTCAGGTAGATTGAGTGTATTTTTAAAAATACCTCTGCATTTTAATATCTAATAAAAATTCTTCCTCTTACTTTCATTGCTCATGGAAGTGGTAAACAGATGTTTTCAAGGATCCTCATTAGTAAGTATTACTCCTGTCTTACTTCTCAGGCTTATTGCTGCTTTATAGAACTAGTCTGATTATTATCAGTGGAAAGCAGCCACTGTTTGTTAACTAAGTTAACTGCATTAGGGTAAAATGTCATTTGTAACACTGAGTACCTTCATCCCAACATGGTTCTTTTACTTGTCTCTGAACACATCCTGCAAAAATTAGGCAGAGCAGTCCTGTTTTAGAGCAACTGTTTGGAGTGTTTTACAGTTCCTTTGTAAGTGTGATCCAAGTTTGGGAAATGCAAGTGAGACCCCTCACTTTTCAAGGGCAACTCACCCACAGGAACAGTTCTGACTTCTGCAGCCACAGAGCACATCAGTGTGACACCCAACAGCAGCAGCCCCTGTGGCTGCAAAGGTTGCATTACTTCTTCACGAGTTCCTTCAGCACTGAGTAAAATCAGAGCAGCTCTTCCCAACCAGGGCAGGCTCCGGCTGGAGAGGATACCCAAAGTATGGCGGAGACACCAGAAATCCTGACGGCTGGGTCAGGTGGACTGTGTGGGCTGTCTGGAAGCAGCCAGACGTGTAGGGTGGAGGTGAGGACGGCACAAGGCAGCCTGGCTCTGCCCGGGGGAAGGAGAACCTGCGGACAGAGCTGCTAGCGGAACTGGAACTGGTGGCAGTGCTGGACTGCCGGGACGGGGTCCTGAAGCTCGTGGAGGCCAAGATCATGGGAAGGGTCTCGGTCTGATAGCTCCGCAGGGAAAATCGGATTGGCTGCGACGGCTGTTTAGGTCTTAAACATGTGCAACAATAAACTGCTACCAGCGAGCCCACGATAATGAAGGCAATAAATATTGATCCAACAATGAGGAATGGAACGTAGATTGGTTCTGGGAGAAGAGAGAAGAAGAAAAGCCATGCAAATTAGCCCACTTAAGTAACAGGTCTTCTGTGTAGAAATAAACTCCACAGTATTTATGAAGCCCCACAATATTTCAGTCCCAATAACATACCAATCTGCTTAGAAAACAGAGCACCATTAGCATTGAAACAAAATCAGAGTTTAAACCCTGCAGGTTCCAGTAAAAATTTATTTCTATTACAGTTTTAATAGTTACCAAAGGTAGAAGCTGTCTACATCGTGTCCCCTTCATTGGTTCTTGGTAGGTATAGCTCAAGAATCTCACTCCTCTCCCCCTCCCTCATCCCCCAAATCGCCGGGACTGTGCAGTGTAACAGCTTGAATCTGCAGGTGAAGCGCAAATGCTGCAGATCCTATTAAATCGCTTCCTTTCCTAAGGTGGAAGATAAGCGCAGAGCGTGTGATTTGGGAAACCAGTCTCCGTATGCGCTGCCGGATTTCTTTTGTTTGGGAAACTGACGGCCACTAGCACGGTGGGCTGTGCGTGCAGAGCACCGGGGCGCGCTCACACCTCCGGCAGCAATAAAGTTAGACAGACACAGCAGAATTTGCCGATGTGAAGTTGAAATACAAGTGCACCATGCGGTCATGCTGCCGGTGCTCTCGGCAGCGCGGAGCTGCGGCCCCCGGGCTCCCGGTCCGTCCCGGCGCGGGGCCGCCCCGCAGCCGCACCTGAGCGCACCTGGAGCCGCCCCGCCGCCAGCCCACCCCGCAGCGGCCCGGGGGATGCTCCGCGGGACCGTCTCCCGCCCGCCCCGAGACCCGCGGCCGGGCACTCACGGGCGGTGACTCCCGGCTCCGAGGGCTCCCGGTCGTTGGTGCAGCCGCCCTGCTCCAGGCGAGCCTCGGCGGCGGCGCAGCAGTAGCGCAGGGCGCAGGAGCCGCAGCAGATGGTGGCGGCCGCCGTGTCGAAGCCCTCGGGGCACTGGAAGCCTTCGTGGTAGCCCCCCTGCCCGTCCACCCAGCCGTGGCAGTACTCGCCGCCGCCGGGCTGGCCCCCGCCGCCGACGCCCAGCAGCCCCAGCAGGAGGCAGCGCAGCAGCAGCCGCGGCAGCGCCCGCCGCCGCCCCGCCATCTCCCCGCCACCGCCCGACGGGGCGCGCAGGGGGCGGCCCCGGGTGCCGTGCGGGGCCTCCTGCGCCGCGTCCGGGGGCTGGGAGGCAGCTCCCACAACACACACACCCTCACACACCCTCACACAACCCTCGCACTCACACACCCACCCTCAGACACCCCCACACACCCCCGCTTACACACCCCCACATACCCACACACACACACGCACACTCACACACACACCTACTCTCACACACACACACCCTCACACACCCACCCTCAGACACCCCCACACACCCCCGCTTACACACCCCCACATACCCTCACACAACCCACACACTCACACACACACACACCCTCACACACACACTCACACTGTCATTCACACACACATACACACTCTCACACACTCACACTCTCACACACACACACACTCACGCACTCACAGTCACACACTCACACACTCACACACACGGCTCTCCCCCGCCGCTCCCCTGCCGCCCCGGCCTCGCCGCCTCCCGCGCCCCCCAGCATCGCCCCGCCGCTCTCTGGGCCGGCTCCTGCGGCTCGGCCGGTCCCGCTCGGTACCTGTCGGTCGGACGGGCCCGGCGCGGAGGGAGGCAGGGAGGGAGGCTGCGGCCAGATCAGCATTTGGTCTCCGACGGCCTGTTCCTCTGGGCTGGCTGTGCCCGGCCGCAGCCACAAACGCGCGGAGCGGAGCGCGGCCAGCTCCCGTCCCACACACCCCATCGCGGCCCTCACTCCCGGCCGCCACAAGCAGAAGGGTCTCTGCGCTGGCAATTTATTCAAGCAGCCCTGTGCTTCTAAGGGTTAAAAAGCAAGTACAGCGTATGATTTATTACAAAGACTTTTTGCTTTTTAACCTGTTTCCCCTCCTCAATACTTTTTATGTGCAAAGATATAACAGCATATCCCCAGAAGATTTATAGCCCCTCTTAGTCAAACACCAGGCCCGTCACCTCTGTTTTCCAAGAGAGAGAATGGGTGTGGAGTTAGGGAGGAGGAACACATCTGTTCATATGAGAATCCAATCCTTTTTCTGCTAGAAGAATAACAGCAAATCACCAAGCAAAAACCACAAAAGGAACTGCTTATTCATTTATTCTAGAGGAAAAAAACATTTTAAATGAACTGAGCAGATTTGGACTTCTGGTTCCAGCAAAGAAACATTTCGGTAAATGATGTCTCCCCTGTGTGCTATCGAAGAGGCACTCTAGCTCGAACGGTGAAAGTACTTATGAAACTTATATTAAAGCTGTGCTGAACGAAAGAATGCATTTTTCCTGCATCTGAAACTTCCTGACATCATTTACTGCTGGGGTATGAATATGTGTATCAGAGTCTGACCACTTGTCCAACATTTTGAATGCCCATGTCACTAATTTCCAAAGTTGGCAAGTTTAGTCAAACAAAAGGAACAAAGTGTGCTGTGTACCAGCAATAAAACTGTGCACTCAGAACCATCTATCAAGACATTAGACTTCTGGCCAACTCCTAAATACAGTCCACAAGCACTATATTTGTGGGGGTTTTTTCCTTTTAACTAATCTATTCTATTTTTTTTCATCTCTGACCCTTTTTTCCTGTTTTGATTTCTGTATGTATAATCAGTACCACCAAATCAGAAAAGCAAATTTAAAAAATTGCATAAATGAAAAATATTTTTCATGGCTATTGAGCAGATATGGCTATAGAAATAACAAAACTGGATACACAAGAAAAACACATAGATTCTGAAAGTGAAAATGTGCTATTTTGTCCTCCTCTGCATTTTCATTTTGAAATGATGATGTGGATTAAACTTTTACCAGCTGTCCTGACTACAAGTTCCTAGTTTTTATAAGCCAATGTTAAATATTAATACAGTTTTGCATTTACTTCACCGTGGTTTTAAAGCAAACATAACCTTCATGGAATGTTTTAAAATGTATGACTTTTAAAGGCCTAATCCAACTTCCAGGAAGGTCAAAAGGAATCTCTGTGTTGACCAGGATGAGGCTTGGAGCAGGAACTCAGTAAGGTCTTCATGGTGCATTTAGCTGTCTCAGGTGCAGAGGAAAGAGGGACAACAGAGCCGTCCTCTCAAGTTTGCAGGAAAGCCTCATTTAGTAGGAGTCAGTGAGTAAATATCTCATAGCTCATATGATAATTTTGTTAATTAATTCATTGGCTTCCAAAAAAATTTTAAAAAAAAAGTGGTCTGAAAAAAGCCTTCTGAGATACAGAGATATTTCAGATCCTAAACTACCATAGGAACTGCAGTGAGAGTTGTGGGTGGGGCACTGAGGGGGCTCCCAGCTCACAGACATTGGGAAGGCTTTGACCTGGGCCTTGTTTGTGCCATCTCTAGTGCTTGGATTGTTAATAAAAGTGTTTGTGTTCCTTTAGGCAGAGACTATTCTCTGCTCCCCTCTGGTGATGGCACCTCAACAGGGTCTCCTGCAAATGGGCAAAATTATCCTTCTCTTTATTTGAATCCCAAATTTCTCCATCCTGCAAGAAAATTCTTTTAAGAGTTTCATAAGTACGAGTTTGCAAGTGTGTGTGGTTGATTTTGTGTGGCTAAATGGCATTTCAATCACACAAGTGGATTTATCTCCCTTTTGCCAAATAAATCAGCAGCAGATTTCAGGACTGATCCTGCAAACACTGCCAACCTGGAAAGCTTTGAAGATACATGAGTTTTCCTATAAAGTGCTGAGGTCCTAAATTGCTTCTTTGGTCTTTTTCCTTTTTCTGAAATATTGGTATAGCCTGCAGAATGTGATGTGACTGTAGTGGAGGTGAACAGGATTGTTCTGACCTAGACAGTAAAAATCTTTGTTCTGCTCCCTTTTCTATAAAGGTACAGTTTGACATGCTAGAAGATTCATTTGCATTGATTTTTGCCATTTGCTTTAAACTAAATCCACACATAATTAAGAATACAGGGAAAAACTGTCATGTTGACTGTTGCTGAGCATCCCACATCTGCAGTTTGAGGACATTGGATGGCTCAGAGTAGCTCATTTTTAGACTGGTTTTTGTTGGGTGATGTTCCTGAAAAGTACCAATGCTGACTTTGCTTATTATTTATTCCCAGCCAAAACCTTCCAGCTTCCAGGTGATGTCACAAACTTAATTACATCACATTCATTTTAAATGAGAAACATTGTTTTTAAAAACAAAAACTCATTTAGTTCTGATTGTTGTTGTTTATAAAGCTTAGTATGAAAACTAATGAAGGTGAGATCAGTCATACAGTTGGGAGAAAAGATACTTAATTGTATTTTCAGGTGTTATTATCTACCAGGCTTTTTTTACTGTCTCCACAGCAAACCTACAGGGAGAACACATTATAGCACTCCTCATCTGCTTCTGTGCAAGATCGAACAATTGTTCTTAAATGACTTCTGAAATCATTAATTCCCTGCACACAGTAATTACCTCACAACTGTCAAATAGATCAATTGTAAAAGCAGATATTAAAATCTTCTTAAATATATTTGTATTTCCTAATAATTATTTTGCTACATTCCATTTTCTGGATTTGGGCTTTTTTTCTAAGTTTTTTCCCCTGATTTCACTACTATACTTTTGGCATCCTTTCAGACTATAAAGCAAGCCAGTGACCCATGAAGTTCTAGCATGAGTGTAAATCCTAATATCACTTCAGGCAGTTACTACCAATGTAAGGTAAAATCACAGAACTTTGGATTAGCTGCTAGAGTCCAAGCAGAGACAAAATCCCCCAGAAATTCCTAAATAATGTCAGAGCTCTGTCTTGACTAGGGCAATTACAGATAGGCTCAGCTCGTATCTTTTCTGATAGTCAAATCTTGCAGGATCAGTCATTTCACCTCAGCTCTTCATTAAATTTTGTCTTCTATTTCAAAGAGTAAAAAAGGCCAAATTGATGTACCAGCTTCTAAAACCAGCCTGGTGCAAGCACAGTTCCCCTTAGAAATAAAACCAAAAGATTTTGCCACCTAAATTGCAAGCTCTTGAGCTACATGATTTGCTTCATTGTGCACATAAATTTTGTGTTGAATAAAATCCTGTATGCTGATCTCCCAGGTGATATCCTTAGTCTTGGCTGCTTGTGAGAATGCCCCTCCTGCAGCTCTCTTGCTGGGGGAGCCACCTGCCAGGCCACGAGCATCCCTGTCACCTGCCAGGCCACACGCGTGTCCCAGCCAGGAGGGGCTGGCAGGAGTGCTGTGAGACGCCCCAGAATCTGCCCCATGGCCCAGGGAGGCTCCAGCTGCATCTCTGCTCCTCCTCTGGCTGCAGAGCCTCATCCCATTGCCTACATCAGCAAATTAAAACAGGCCCATGAAGCCCATAAAGTGCACTTTGGTTGACTGAATCAAGGGGAAATGTGCTGCTTTTCTTCTTTCTTTTCCCTTGCTTGTTTTCCAGTATTCTTTTGTACTTTTCTGGTCTGAGTTGGAGGCTGCAGATCTGACAGCCAACTTTTATGATTTTTTCCTGGGATTTGACCAGCACTGCATGGTTTTCCACCCCAGTCAGGAATATCACCATGTTTTCTGAATTCTCTCAGAAACATTTGAGAGGTCAGGTTACATAAGCCAGCTGTTAAAGGCAGCACCACTTACTCTTTCCCACAGGTAACCATTGAGAAAGCTGGTTACAGTCTGTGGAGAAAAACTTAGAAGTCAGGTTATCTCAGCCTCATGACTGTCAAAGTAAGTGAGATTAATCATAAGTGCCTTGGGCTCACTCAAGAAGCAGAAGGTTTGATTACTGGTATCTTGATCCATGTGCACACATGTCACCATAATGGCTCCTTATCTGGAGTCTGTAGCCCTGCTGGGTAGAGGAGTTAGGATCAAACCTCAGGAGTCATCATTCTCCTCCTAAGGCAGCAAGAGGGGAAGATATTTTTAAGCCGGCAATGCAGCCATCCCTATTTGAGGAACATTTTATCCCAGCCATCCCCAGCTACCCTTTAGAAGATCACTCTTGCCATTCTTTTGAGCTCCACAGACACCACAT